GTAGAAACAGGCATTTGAATGGGAAATATATAGGCTACCATTTAGGGCTGGTCGATAAAACGATAACGATAATTATCATGATATAACTTTGACTCGATAGAGCGATAAGAAATGTTCAATCATTTTTTGATAGAATACCCCATTCTCACAATTCCACGTTCTAGCGAAAGCCCTGGTGGCGTTTTTTACTGCAAGGACACTACTCTGCTGTCGCCAGGAGAGGGCGCACTTCTGAGTTTTTCGAAATGATTAGAGAGGGAGGGAGCGATGAGTAAAATGAGTCTTTAGCAACGGCTGAAACATGGAGTTATACATTCCGTGTTTGAGTGGAGCGACCGGCGATCTGTTCTCCTGTGACCAAGTGTGAGTGACGAGATAAGTGGTGTAGCTGTACTGTCCTGCAGTGAACTCACCTCTTTCCGTACATCCTAACCAGCTTTAGCAGCGTTGCAGTTCATGTAAATTACAGCCTTGATTTAAACGAAAGTAAACTGAGGAAGCTGTGAGGCATTGGAGAGCGGGAGAAAACTAACGCTAGCTTTCCAGGCTAGCTGTTTTTAGCAGCTGGCTAACTTGAAGCAGCGCTCCGTCACTCACACAACTCAGCAAATTGATACTGTAGATCAAACAAGACACAAAAGCACCGCTTTCCGTTTAAACATACCTAAAAGGAGGACTCAGTTTGTCTGGTGTTGATATATTGCGGTTCACCCCTTAAACTACTACGATAGAATAGAGAAATCCAGATGTCTGCTAGCTGGTATCTGACCAGACACTTTCTCCCACTCTCCCATGACAGTTTTGTGAAATGTTCCACTGTTTGGTGAGTGTTTGTCGTGTTCCGACCATAAAGGATAGTTTAAAACAGCAATTAACCACCCAGGAGCAAAAAATCAGCCTTTAAACTTAATGATGATTTGACATTTATTGCGATATGTATCGATATCGAACGATATGAATTTTGTTTATCGTGGTAACATTTTTGGCCATATCGCCCACCTCTAACTACTATTATTGTTGCTTTCCTTAATCATATTCTGTTGTTATAATTATCATTATTAATAGCGGTAGTAGATTTTGAAAAACATTTAAGTTTTATGAAGGCAGGCGTTCCGTACGTGGAATCCTGCAGCAGGGCTTTATCTATTTAACTAGCATGACCTCAGAAAAATGCATAAATGAACTTTAAAAAAGTGCTGCCTTGCGCTGCTACAGAACGATCTGAAGCCACACAACATATCAAGACTGATACGGGCATAGACTATATGGTCAAAGAAATGAAACATTACAGGACAAATATGATTACATTAGTGCATCTTAAAGGTATGGATGACAGTCAGCGATTCACAGTACTATCACCGGTCAGCTCAAGCCCACACGCACAAAGTGATGGTTCTTCAAGGGTTGTTTAGTAAAGGAAACAGTTTTATATAGAACCATGAACACAAACCCTTTGCGTGATTAAAGGGTTCTTTGCATCCTGAAAGTGTTCTTCAGACTGATGGAGAATGTGCTGTAGATTGTTCCACATAGAACCTTTTTGAAAAGGTTCTTATAAAGCACCAAAAAGGGTTCTTATATTATTACAAGCTTGACATTGTCACAATAGAAGAACCCTTTTTGGTGCTATATAGAACATTCTCTATCAGCCTGAGGAAACTTTTCATGATGCAAAGAACAATTTAATCATGCAAAGGGTTCTTTTGAGTGTTCATGATTCTATATATAACCATTTTCTTTACTAAGGAACCCTTGAAGAACCATCTTTTTTAAGAGTGATAGAAGTATTCATTGCATTGTCATGTGATCTGTGTTCTAGTCCAGTTTCAGGTACAGTCATACTCACTCTGATAGTGCAGAGTTTAGCCATATATGACACTCTGCTGGTTCCACTGATGTGCAGTATTATTCTGGGTTATAAAATTCACTACAAATGAAAAGAAGAGTGGGAAGGAGAAATAGACCTGGAGAGAGAGAAGGGAGAAATAGGAAAGGATTCTCTCAAATACAGTCTGTCAGCCCCTCGTAAATGGAGAGGTTTTGGTGTTCTGACAGTCGGTAAAGTGAAGGGGCCTTTAATGTTTATGCCAATTCACGATTCTACTCAGCATTTGTATTTGAAGCTATTATACTCAGTCAGACTGGGAATATGATGACTGAGGAGAAGCACAGTTCCGTCTTTTGCCTTCTATCATTTTGCTTCTGAAAGTCTGATTCATATTTCATTGATTTTAATATCCCTCATTGGCATTGTGATGTACTGTTTGTATTCTTGGGATGTTTTACTGAGAGATTGGTCCAGGCCAAATATCGTCGCTGTCCAATGAAAAACAAGTCTCCAAAATAGTAACATTACGGGAGAGGGCAAAAACTCTCAATAGTGTATATGCCGTGAAATGCTGTTGTTGTTTTACATTTTGGTTAATTATTGCTCATTGAAACAATTGAGGAATAATGTTGTATAAAAAGCATGAACTATAAAATTGAAATCTATTATTTGAAGTTTATAAATGTGTATATATTATGTGTATATATTATAAGGTTACAGGATTCAACATTAACGGTTGCCAACTGTGCTTGAAACTGCCTTCATTTGCTTTTATATGCAAACACCACATCACTATCTGAAAATGTTGTAATTCATGTGTACATCAAAGTAAATCTAGCCAGTTGTGTTGTTTGTAGGTACTTGTTTGTATCGCAAGGCCTGAAACTTTTTCTCCTGAATAAACCTTTTCCTGTGGGTACACTGTAGGTCTTCCCTTAAAAGACAAAACTGAATCGTTCTTTGTTGACACTGCCGTTCACTATAGTGCTATGAAAATCCCTCGGTCATCTCTGTCACTCATCAGCAGCACTGGACACACAATAATATTTAGAAATAATAGTATGAAAGGCACACAGTTTATTTAAAATGTAAAGCATGTGCATAGATAACTTTCTTGGGTATGACATGACTGTGTTTGCACCAAAGAATAAGAATGTATACACTGATGAGCCACAACGTTTTGACCACCTGCCTAATATGCTGGTCCTTCATTTGCAGCTTCATGTGCAGTAAGATGTGTTGTGCCGCATGCCTTCTGTAACCATTGTTGAACATTTCTGTGATTTGTGCCCCAGTAGCCCTTCTGTTGGTTCAGGCCAGAAGGAAAAGCCTTCATTGCCCTCACACATCGATGAGTCTTGGACGGCCAACACCCTGTCACCAGTTCTTGGTTTGTTTGTAGGTTGTCACCACTGCTGACCAGGAACACTCCACAAGTCTTGCCGTTTTGGAGATGATCCGACCCAGTCATCTGGCCTAAACAATTTAGATGTTATCACTCAGGTCTTCATGCTTGCCCATTTCTCCCACATCCAACACGTCGGCTACAAGAACCGACTGTTTGCTTACGTCAAATACATTCCAGACCTTGACATGCACCACTGTCACGAAATAATCAATCATCGTTATTTGCTTAGTCTGTGAGTGGTCAAAATGTTTTGGCTTATTGGCGTATATGAATGTAAATTTATAATGTTGTGTGTTGTGGAACAAAAAAAAATTGCCATTTTATTTTTGCCTCAGAAGTGCAGGCTTAAATTTGTTGCTACAGAATGTAAATGTAATTTATTGTATAACATACTTTGTAATTAATTATGCAGTTGTATACTTGCATATAAATAATTGTGTAGTGTAAATCAAATGTATAAAATGAGACTAGCTCAGACTTCTAATGGTAGATTGTTTAGTGTGATTGCAGTGAATTTTGTGAAACAAATTTTATATGCTCAGGCTTTAAGCAAAGTTTATCAGCTTGAAGTGTATGTCTACAACGTTGCCCTAGAATTTGCTGTTTTCAGTTTCATGTGCTTGCTAAAAAAAGAAAAAAGGGCACAAGCTCAATACAGATTTTATTAATTTATACATGACAAGGCCTGGAAATTAATCACAATATTAGATGGATAAGATACTCTTGTAAAGCTAGTTTAAGACAAAAATGCCAGAGTGTGTAATTTAGAAGTCTTTACTGTATCCCTGTGCCAGCTCTGCAGATTTCTACCTCCCTCGGAAGGTTGGGGCGTTTTCTTTTCCAGACATGACTCTGCATAAGTCACGACAGATGTGGCTTTGATTTCGTCCTCACACTTTCTACAAAGTCCTTTTTTATTTGTTATTTTTCATAAATCTTAAGGGAAAGGTTAAGCTTAGCCATACCTCCACATGTTCTACCTTTTTCCAGTCAAGCTTTACCATCCAGACAGGTGGGTGTTGCATAATTTTGAAGGTGTCTCCAGCATGTCACATATGGCCTTTAGTGATGCATACTTCTGTATGGATGGATGGGAATGCCTTTTTTTAGAATTCTATTTGTGTGTGAGATGTGTCTATGACTGTCAAGAGAAGAGATTATGTAATGAGGGTGCTCTTAGGTGCAGACGTGCAGACAAAAGACAAATAAAAAGAGTCTCAGTGTGGAAAGCGGAGCATTGCACAGCTCATTGACTCCACTTTATAGCACCATAATGGTCTTGTGACTATCCAGTCTGTTTGTTTGCCTTCCACATTTGCAAGGTTGCAGCCAACTGGTGCTTTCTTTCTGCTTTCTCTCTCTCTCTCTCTCTCTCTCTCTCTCTCTCTCTCTCTCTCTCTCTCTCTCTCTCTCTCTCTCTCATCTCATTTCATCTAACCATCCCATGCACGTACACAGCAGGAAAAGTGCAGGATAATTGGATGTGTGCAGTTCATGCCAAGGCGCTCATATTTCTCTGTGTGGCACTTAGTTGGCAAATTGTCACCTATTTGTTCTAATGTCACATACGCAGCCCCCGCCACCTCCTCCCAACATTTGCGCTGCATCTGCAAAATTATATAAAAAGGCTTACTTTTTTTGCTGTGTCTACAAATATGTTTTCTTTGCCACGTTTCTGTGTATGCACATGTGTGTATTGTTAGGTGTCAGGTTTTTTGTGGCTAATTTAATTTCTTGCTCTGTTTTTCTCTTCTGTTTCCCCAGGCAACAGTTGTCGCGGGCGAATTTTGACTCTCCTCCAATTTCTCCCAAGACCCCCTCTGTGGCTTTGAAAGGCAAAGCAGCAAGACAGAAGTGCCCCAGGAAAGAGGGCACCCCTCTGACGCACTTTTTCCACAAACGAGCCCCCATGACCCCCTCATCAGGGGTACAGGCAGACCCCATGCTTCTCCGCCCAGTGAAAGAGGAGCCCATGGAGGTGTGTGTGCAGGTCCTGGGAGACCTCAAGCAGGAGAGGACTGAGGCTCAGAGTGCAAGGGTGAAGGAGGAAAAGATGGATGTGTCTGCTTTTCCCTCTACATCGCAGGTTGCTAATCCTGTGGTCAAAGGTGATGTACGCTTCCCTGTAGGTTTTATGAAACGTTTCAGACTGTTACATCAGTCTCTTTTGTGGAGAACTAGAGCCTGAAGTACATTACTGTGTGAAAGTCAGAGACCATCCTTTCGTTTATATAATTTTCAGTCAAAACTGCCATTAGAAGTTATTCATTTTTCAGTGTGGGAAAAAGCACAAAGCGTATATTTAACAGAATATTACATAAAAGCCTCCAACACTAAGTATATTATCATATTTACTAGCATTTAATTAGTTCACTTTCGCTCTTGTTCACTCTGTTGCCGCCTTAACTCTTCCATCCTTCCAATCTTAACCAACGAGTTATAGCTATGTCCTCCCAACAAAAGCTGTTCCCACTGACGTTATGTTCCTCTTAAAAGAGACACTAACATTCACACAAGCAGCTACCCAAACTCACCATAGGTGTCTTCAAATTCTTTCTTATGTGCATCTATAATGGCTAAAGGAGATACTTCTGAAGAGATTTGATGTAAGATAATGCACTTGCAAAAAGAAAGAAGAAAGGAAAAAAAAAAGTGAAAAACAGGAGTTTCCAAAACTGAAGTTCAAAAAATTGTAACAGATATAAAGAAAATGGGACTCCTAACAACTGTGCAAGATCTGGTAGATCTTTAACACTGCCATTATCAGATAAACAGTACTTACAGCTCTTCTCTTTAAGAGAGAGAGAAGAAGTCAAGCTCTTCTCTTGCTTTAGATGTGAAAAATCCACAGCTGTTTCTGTCGATCCTTCCACTGTGAGAAGACAACTCAACATTATGGGTATGAAAGGATATGTAGCTGCCAAGAATATTACTGAGAAAGGGAAATAGACAAAAAAGAAGTGAATTTGCATGAGATCAGAGAAACTGGACATCCAGTTGGTAGCGACGTTTTATGGACTGATGTCTACTTTTGTAATTGGGATCACTTGGATCGTGAAAAGTAGAAAACCAACCAGCTTCTAAGATTGAATTTTAAAGGTGTGGAAAAATGCCACTGCGGATTACAAATGAAAGCAAGTCTCATGGATCAAATGGAAGCTGTAATGAGGGCAAAGGGTGGATATTTTGATATTTTATTTAGTTGTTGAGGCTTCTGTGTATTCTTCTGTTAAATATGTTTTCTGCTATTTCCTGATGCTGAAAAATTAATAACTTCATACTCAATGTTGGTTTTGACTGAAAATAAAGTAAATGAAAGGGTGGTTACAGTATTGTACATGGCTTACTTTAAATACACACACTGTGCCCTGCCAAAACTTCATAATAAACATAATTTGTGGATTGCTTAGCACTTTTTAGTACTTTTTTTGTCATTGATGCAAAACAAGCTGAGAGGTTGCATAATTGTTTCAGTGATGTGAAGACTTCTGAGGTGCTGACGTCATTCAGAAACCTCCACAGTTTCTTTCCACTCGTTACACAAACCACTTCACCTCCTTTTTATGCATGCAGCTGCACCAGTCTCTAATTACCATGCCCCGGAACTTTGGAGAAGTGGATAACTGCTTCTAAAAGTTCCAAAGGTTTGAATTTAGGTGTTGTGCTGAATTTTAAATATACCTATACCTGATCTCACATTTTGAGGTTCAGCAAGGTTGTTCTTGTTGTTTAAGTTTACTCATTTACATTCTGATGGAAGTTGCACAGTACAGAGGAGTTATTTTCTGAACTGTGCCAGTATCACCTCTGCCATGGCTACCTTGACACTTCTGATGTCTGCATGTTGGGAGAGTTTTTTCTCTGTCTTTTTTTTATGGTTATTTCTCTTATTTCTCTTCACTTGCTCTTCTTTTCAGCATCTACCTGTTCTGTGCCCTCATTCACTGAATTTTACTTTTTTTGACTGTTTGTGCCAAAAAGCATAATTTCCTTTCTCCTATTTAATCAACCACTTGTCTTGCAGCTCAGTGATTCACACAAAGTCCTGATTTGCAAGATTGAAGCCATTTATATTGGTTCTTCAGATGTAGCTGTAGCAGTTGTGCAAAACAGAGACTGAAAATCATGTTGATTTGGAAAGCAGAAAACAGATTTTGACCTTTTGTGTTTGAATTGCATGGTTTAAAAGCTTTAATCTTATTCTAAGTTAACGTGTGTTGATTTTTCCAGTAACCATCAGTATCCATGACTGACTCACTGACTCACTAGTGCTGCAGAGTGCGTGTGTTTAAAGGGACAACACGCAATGTTCGTGGTTACGTTTGGAGAATTGCTGCAGTGTCAACAATACCGTTTGTTTGCTGTGGCTTCTGTAGTCACAGCGGACAAAGTGGACTGACTTCCTGCCATAAAGAGTGGCCACTGTTCTGTCTCTTATCACTTAATAATAGATAGCTGGTTATACAGATAGATCACTTCCAAGAATGACTGACTGTTTTGTTTAATGTTAATCCGTTAGCTAGCTTTGTTTGCAGATGAACATTTACAGCTAGCTGTTATTAGCAGCATGGCTTGCCTGCTAAGGAGGGAATTTGGGGTCTAGGTCCTGTAGTGCAGCTAAATTAGGCTTTCTTGGACTTGTTCAAGTGTGTCTGATAAAAACTGCAGTGTGGAAGATTTTTCAGATGTTTTTTGTTTCCAGCTTGGCTGTCTTTGCCTTCAGTTTAACAAGTTTGTTCAAATTTTGATACTTCGCTATTGCTAGTGGTAAGGTAAAAGGCCCTTTACCAACCCAGCAGATGTCCTGATTACTTTGGGTGATGTGTTAATCTAGACAGGATGTTATAAAATGAAATGTGCCACAATAAAGAAACTTTCTGTGAAGTTAACAAATTTGTCTTCTGCCTAATTTGTTGTATTGCAGTGGAGTGTCCAGTTTGTGGAGTGGGCGTGTCTCAGCAGCACATTAACAAACATCTGGATACTTGTCTGATGAGAGGGGAGAAGAAGGAAGGCCTCAGAAGGTTTGGAGATCAGTTTATAAGCCCACACTAACTAAAAGACTGATGTTGTAAGTAATTGCTGTAGCAGCAGTGAAAGCTCGGCTGAGTGTTAGGTGCATAAAAAGAATTGTCTGTCTTGTCTGTCAGTGGTTAGTTTTTTCTTATGCATGTCTTCTGAATATGCAGCCTTTATGTAGTGTACAAGTCACAAATTGAACAATGTTAAAAATTAATCTATAAAAGTGCAGGTTGTACCCTTCTTTGAACTTTTTCTAAGAACTTTTTTCAATGCAAGGCAGGTTTTTCCTTGTGAACAACACATTTCACAAATCAGTTCTACAAAAATGCTGCTACTGCATCATGTCCCGTCCACATAGGCAAAATATTCTTGCCCTGAAACTTTCTTGTATCTAAACTCTAGAATACTTAAAATATATGCCAGCATTTTTACGATTTGAAGACACTGCATTATTTTGTGGTGTGCTTCTACTGAACTGTGGAAAGGGGCAGTGGGTAGCTTGGCTGTCGTAGCTTGTGAATTATTCACAAACCCTGGATTTATAGCTGAACTTCAAGATGTAAAGTTGTGTCAAGAATATAGCAGATTTTTCTCAACACGGGGCATTTTTTGCTAGAGAAAGAACTTTAATTTTGGATCTCACAGAATCTTTAGCTAAAATACACTGTATTGTCAAAAGTATGTGGACACCCCTCCTAATTATTGAGTTCCAGAATTTTGGCCACATCCGTTGCTAACATATGTATAAAATCAAACACGTAGCTATGCAATCTCCCTAGACGAACATTGGCAGCAGAATGGGTTGTATCATGGGACAGTATCATAGGATGGCACCTTTGCTATAACTGTAAGTGCCACAAAGCGAAAGGCAATGCGAACACACAGAGCAGAGCTGATGAGTACTAAGCACGTAGCGCATAAAACTCACCTAGCCTCAGTTGCATCACTCACTACACGATTCCAAACTGCCTCTGGAATCAACATCAACACAGGAACTATGCATCAGGAGCTTCATGGATTTTCATGGCAGAGCAGCTACACACAAACCTAAGATGAATCACGCTTCACTATCTGGCAGTTGTTCATCTGATGGATAAATCTGAATGCCAGAAGAACGCTGCCTGCCGGAATGCATAGTGCCAACAGTAAAGTTTGGTGGAGGAGGGATAATGGTCTGTCATGAGACGTTTTACGGGGTTTGGACTAGGCCCCTTAATTCCAGTGAAGGGTGATATTAATGCTACAGCATACAAAGACAGTTTAGGCAGTTATATGTTGCTATCTTTGTAGCAACAGTTTGGGAAAGGTCCTTGTGCCCAAAGTGAGGTCCATAAAGACATGACTTGACAAGTTGGGTGAGAAGGAATTCCAGTGGTCTGCACAGAGCCCTGACCAACACCACTGAACACCTTTAGGATGAATCAGAATGTCGATTGTGAGCCAGGCCTTCTCATCCAACATCAGTGTCTGACCTCCCAAATGCTATTTTGACTGAATGGGCACACATTCCCACAGACACGCTAAAATCTGGTGGATATATATTAACGTCCATGGTTTTGGAATGAGATGTCCAACAAGCTCCCAAGTCACAAGTGTGACGGTCAGGTGTCCACATACTTTTGACCGTGTAGCATAAGCTGAATGTTCTGTATATGGATTGCAAGCTGCATCATTTTTCTCCTTTTTGAAGAGAAGCTGTGTTGTGTCTTATGAATTATTATCTTCTCCATAGGTCTGACCAGCTAGGCTCTCCCAGTTCTGCATTTGTAGTGCCCAAGTGAGTTCCCAAGATTATCTTAAAGCAATTTGATTAGATGGTTTTGTTTACACCATCTAACATCCTGGCCCAGGTTTCCTGTTGTTGCTCTGTGTTCTGATAATACGATAAAGCGTCTGCTGCTAAGCTAACCTACACAAAGTTGCTCACTGCTGTATAAAAAAAATAAACAATGTGGAAAGCCACCAAGTAGAAGATATCCACTTAAACACTTGGGGAAATTGCACAAAAAGATGCACTTAGGTTTTTCATGAGGCAATGCGTAATGCATTCAGGGTGTGAGACAGTGCAGTGGCATACATTCATGTAAGAGGCTCTGAGACTGAAGTGCATCTGTGAGTAATATAGACAAATAGAAGTAATCCTACATAATTGGCCAGATGATAAACAGAGGATACTTATAATAGCAAAGGAAACCGCACAAGTAAATCTTTGGTAGACAAGTGTTTTCTTTTCGATTGATTTCTTGTAACAAAATTGCATTTAATCCATCAATCCAATCCATTTTCAAGTTTGTTCGTGTTGTCAATAAACAGTGCTGCGCTTCATCTTTAGATACCACCTTTTTATCTCCCTGGGATTCTTTTTTTCTCTGAACATTGTGTTCCAAATCTTAACCAAACGTAAACCATTCAGTTAACGCAAAAATGTGCCCTCAGAAAAAAAAACTGCTTATCGTGAGTCCTAACGTTTCTGTGTTTGCGTTTCTATTAAACCCAACTATTCTCTCTCTCAGCCGAAATCCCCTGGGAGCATGTTTGAAGGGCAGCCATTTGGTGCAGGGTTTGATTGGCAGGCAGGCTGATTCGGTTTGCAGGGGGACCTTGAGGAAAGACTGATGAAAGAGTGTGTGCTTCAGCATTCTGCTGGCCTTAAGCGCATCCCACCACTCCACACTTGCACACAGCCACAGAGACTGATGGCAAATTAAAAACATGATGCATGAGTTCACCTTTTAGTCGTGGGTGTTTTTGGGCAGCGAGGGTAAGTGGATTCTGATGAGTGAATTAATAGAGTTTTAAAGTAATGTTACATCTTTTCCTTAGCCTCCAGTAGAAGTCTTTTAGTGCTATTTATTTTATTTTTTTCAACCTTTAGCATTTCAATAGGGCATAAAATATGACCACAAATTTGCTTTCGAGCAGCTCTAACATAGCAATGGCAACGATGCATAATATAACGCTGTTATTTGTAGATGCACCAATATGAGAGCTCTGGGCCGATGCCTGAATTTTTCATTTATTTAATTTTATGTCCATCTGGATTAGCATTACATAGAAATATATTATTTTCTGGAGGGGTACAAATGCCGTAAAATGAATAAAATGCAGATATTTTAGCACAGTAGCCCAATTTTCACCTAAATATTCTTCTCTCATGTATCAGTTTGAAATATCGGTCTAATCTAAGTATCTGTCTGATGGGGATTTTTAATTTTTTTTTTTTTTTGCAATCTACCAATGTTAATAAAGTTAGATGAATTACTAAAGATGAATTATTAATGCCACTAATTTTTTAAAGCCATAAATGCTTTTTCTCTTGTTTTATACTTATCCATAGTCCCTCACTGAAGTCCAGCTGTTCACGCGTTGTATGTTGCTGTGACTTGCTCTGCGACTTCTAAGGGCCCATATCCTATATTCTTCTAGCACTTTATTTTTTCCTGGTTTTATGCACTAAAAACAGCCATAAAACATTTTTACTTGACCATTTTTCAGCCTCAGTTTCTGAAACAAACAGAATCAAACAGGCTATTTTTGTTACTGTGCCTTTCAGATTAATATATCATTGAAAGTATTATTATTTTTTTTACATTATTTGAGCACAGCAGCTACCCTTTACATTGTATAAAAATGTTATGATGAATGTACCAATGGAAATGCGTTTCCCTATGTAAAGGTACCAGTTTGGAAATACTTTTTTTTACTTTTTTTTGCACAGTGACTATATGTAAATCAGCTCTGTTCTGATTGGCTGCCCTGTATTGTGCCTCATTTAAAAAGCAGTCCAGGCTAAAACACTCTTACACCTTCAGCGTGAATGGGCAGGGCTAAGCTGTTGTGGCTGAATAAGAGGATGTAGGTAAATCAGCTGGTTTGCGACATCACAGAAACCTAGTGTTAACATATTACCTCGGATTTCTTTGTTTAAAAACAGGAAGGAAAATTATGGGTTTCAATTATGTGGGCCTTTTAAATGGCAAAAATATATGTTAAAAAATGTTAAAATTAAATGTTAACGCTTTTTTTGATAAGTTATTTTCAGCTACTGATATGCTGATGAAATGCATTGAGTGTGAAGTATCATTTACAAACACCGCTAATGCCTGCAGGGTCAGTAATTTGGTAGACTATGCTGGACCTGCTCGTGGGAGAACTATGAAGAAATCAAGGAGTAACAAATTAACAAATTCAGTATCAAAGTGGAAAGGGCAACAGCTGCACAGAAATTGGAACCATTGACATTTATCTTATATACATGAAGCCATTGTTGCTCTCACTTGGACGTCAGCAATGGGAATTGGAAACTATTCACCCATTGAAAATTATTTGATTTACAGGTTCAAGATCAAGTAAATCCTGTGTTCACATGGAAAAAAGTAATATTATTGAATTACTGAAAGTAATAAATGGATTCTGATGCAGCTTATTTTGTCCACTGGTATATATTTAAAACAAATGCACTGTGTTTTAAATTAAAAATCTCTCTTTAGAATTATATTTGAGCAAATAAGAGAAATGTGATTAATCACGATTAACCACGTACCATAATGCAATTAGTTACAATAAATTATTTTGACAGACCTAGTTTCTAGGCATAATCACTTTCCTCAGCAGTCAGAATAACTGACAAATCTAATAGGACATTTAATGCTAAATGTTTCAGTGAATGTGTTAAAAAAATACTCATCCATAATCCACAAGATAATGTGAGCAAATGATGTCAGTTAGCTCTTTTCTTTCTTGAGGTTGTACAAAACCATTGTTAACCCAAAGCTAAATGCAGTTCTAGGCACTAGGAATTAAAATGCGTTTGAAGTATCAAGTAGGTAAGCTTAAACTTAAATAATGAAGAGAATTAATTGCAGATCACTTTATAGATCATTTCAGGAAGATTTTAAGAACATTTGTATAGATGATTACAATACAGTTAATAGCATTTAATAGCAATAGTTGTATCATTTATTTAAATCCTGGCACTTGTTTTTTGTTCTGAAATTGCAGCTCTGGAAAGCGCAGGCCAATGGCTAAGGTGGTGTACACGCTGCTGACTATGGCTGAACTCAAGAGAAGGCTAAGAGAGTGCCACCTACCTACCCAGGGCTCCAGAGATCAGCTCATCAGACGACACCAGGAGTTCACCCACATCTACAATGCACAGTGTGACTCACTGAACCCTAGAACAAGTATGGCTGTCTGATCTAAAACATAATACTTCGTTTTTTAAGAATGTTAACAAGCTGAGAGAGTGCATAGCAGCATTTAATTCTGCTTCCTTAATGTATGTGTCTGCTTGTTTTCTCAGTTAACATATTTGTAACATTTTTAATCATTTTTTCTGGTCTTTATGAAAGTTTTGCAACAAAGACATTTTTGCATCAGCATTAAAGGGTTAACTGTCTCTCACAAGTTACTAGTGTTTCTACAGAAATGCAAAACTTTCCCTATATGGAGATACAGTGAGACCATTCTGAAAAAGTGTATGTGTCTTTGTGTTATGCCGTTTTTGCCAAGATGCTGAATAATAGATAAAAGTCTAGAAGGCTGCAGTTTGCTTCTATTAAGAGCATGTAGGTGCTGGAGGACAATGCGCGTATGTAGATTTAGTCGCTCTGTAAAGGCCCTGGCAGAGCAGTGACTCTTTTAGTGAAAAATACTGTCGGCCTTGTTTTGACTTAGTGTCTTCCCTCAAGCTGACCCTGAAAGCAATGCTGAATTTATCCCTGTGTGTTAAGTTGCCTTTAGGTTTTGCAGATGACACTTATCTGCATATTTTTTGTGTACATTCAGCCTGTATAAAATGACTTACTGCTATTATTCTAAAAACGTTGCCTGTAGAAGTGTTTGTCTTGTATTTTTTTCTGCAATTCCCAAAAGGTTTCCAAAAACAACACTTTTTAAACTAGCCCTAGGTATTTCTTTGTTATCTTGAAGGTGAGTAGTAATGTCAAATTATTCTTTCTTGTTAATCAAACCATGTTGAAAATGAAACTTCTGAAAATGTACAGCTCTGTAGATATTGTGATTCACTGGTGAAATTTCATTGCATATTCCAAAGAAATTCCACAGTAAAAGTTAGAAACTTGGCACTTTGGAATCCTCTTATCAAAAAATAGCAAAGAAAAGCTTTCAGTTACCCTGTGCAAGTAAGACAAAGTAGGTCAGATACAAAGTTACTACACTGGAAATGCAGGATTGAATCATCTGACAAGGTGGTCTGACATAAATTGAATTTAATTTGATGAGCTTGGCAGCAAGCTTCTATCCAGTGATAAAAATGACACTAGGCTTATAATAAAAAAACATAAGACTGAAATTGGCCACCTTATTTTGTCTGACCGATAAAGTGCAGTTGTATGTAGAAGTTTGGGCACCCCTGGCCAAATTACATATTTCGTGGATTATTGAAGTGAAAATAAGTAACATGACCTGTTATAACCAAAACTGTTTTTTAAAATAGCATTTTTCCTTAAGTATAAATGAGTAATTAGTTTAGATTTGATTAACTTAAAAAAAAATGGAAAAAAATACAATTTGGACACTCATCCAGTTAACTTAGTTTGTTAACTAAACTCATAAGGCCTTTAATGACTCATTAGGACTGGTGAAGCAGGTCAAGAATTGTCATTAGGAATTGTCAGCTGATGACAAATCCAGATCATAATACATTCTCTAACTCAACAGATCTTGTAGAAACACTCAACAGCCATGGGCTCATTTAAGCGGCTGGATGAGGATCTGAAAATGAAGCTAATTGATGCCTACAATGCAGGGGAAGGTTATAAAAACATGTCAAAGCTCTTCCAGCTTACAGTTTCTACTATCCAAAATGTCATCAAGAAATAGCAGTTAAGGGGAACTGTAGAAGTCAAGGCAAGATCTAGGAAGACCAAGAAAACTCTCAGATGGGCCCCTATATGACAGCAAGGGGCCAACAGGAAAGCTTAGTTGACTAGAGTGGTGGTGCACTGTTCTACTAGCGTTGCTTTCACAAACTTGATCCACATTGAAGAGTCATCAGAAGGAAGCCTCACCTATGACCTCATCACAAAAGTCAACTTGTAGAGTATGCAAAACATTTAGAAAATCTAGAGGCATTTTAGAAAGAAGAGCTGTGGACTGCTGGAGTAAAGGTGAAATTCTTTGGTCACAATAAAAGGTATGTTTGGTGAAGAAAAGAGGCAGCATTTGATGAAAAGAACACCTTGCCAACTGTTAAGCATAGGGGGTAGTTAGAGTAGAAAAGGACTGGCTCTAAAAGCATTTACAGGCTGTCGCTTCGGCCAAAAGGGATGTTACTAAGTACTGACTTAGTAGTGTTTGCACATGCCACAAATATTATTTAAGTTTCATATTTGATATTTGCAGGAAAATTTAGTTTTTTGGAAATAATTTACTGTACTAGTTCCTTTACACTTCAAAAATGAACAAAATATGTAATTTTGCAAGGGATGCCCAAACATTTGTGTATATATCATTATTTAAATTATGTGATGGCCTAATAGCAACTCATTTCATCATCTTGGCAATAAGTGGAAAAAAAATCAGATCTCAATTTGTTGCTGAAGTGAACATTAAGAAAACATCTGAAAGTTTTCTGCAAGGGCCCTTTTTGACCCTTTTTTCCTGATTGCACAACGTTTGGATATTGGCAGCAAAACCCCAAAAGGTTGATAAATGTTCAGTGACTTAAAGCATTTTTTTCACTAGTTAACATTGTTTTGAAGGACCAGTGTTCTTGCAATAGAAACTTTGATGGGCAGTAAAATCCAGCTTGACAAAGCTTAGACGTGCATGTTTTTTGAGGTAAAGAATATATGGGTTGTTTTTGTTTTAGGACTTTTTTGCAGATTACTTGGAATAAACAGTCTGTAATGCTATCCTCTCCGTGGGTTAACTACATTCCAAAGAAACAGAGTTTGCATTTAAGAAGTAAACAGAAATGGAAAAAAGCTTTATGGCATGGAGAAACATGTAGCAGACTGTAATGGTATGTTTTTGTAATTTCAGGATTAAATGTCTTATTTGGCTAATTGCGTGCCATTTCAGTGTTGGTGTAATGTCAGCTACAATGATTTAAGGCACTTCCAGGCTTAGTATATGTAATTTAAATCAGTGCCACCTCATTCAAGTCACACTCATCAGTTCAGTTGCCAGTCATTTGCCAAGGCTTTTAAATTTTTAGGAGTCTTATGTTTCTATAATGCAGACATGATCCCTTCCAGTGGAACCCACATTTGCGTTCCAGTTGTGCATTGGTTTTATAGCCAGTGTGCCCAAAGAGCACATTTTCTGTCCATTGATGTATCAGCCACCAGTCTTCTAGTCACTTTAAATTCAGCACAGTCAAAACGTACAATAGGTGGATCATCATTCACTCATCTAGATCTGCATGTCATGATTTGAGATGTTAATATAATACACTGTTTTCTTGCTGACAGGTGAGGACATTGCTAGAGAAGTTCAAAACAATGAGAAGATAAGGAATCAACTGGATACTAAAAGTAAACCTGTATGTACCAGTCTTGTCTATGTTGTAGTTTGCTTGTTTAAAGAAAATTGTCAGTCAATAAAATATTACATTATTATATAATGCACCGTAGTTTCAACAACTGCCCACTTTCATTAACAAGCTGTTTGGAGTCTGATGTTTTATCTTTTTATTGCAGGCAATAGCCATCACAAAGAACCAAACAGCTGAAGAAATTGAACAGTTGCACTCAAACTACCGTAAGTTGGCACACAAATAAATACACTTAAGCCCTATTCAGACAGGATTAAAATAGTAAAAATAAAAATACAAAGAAAATACTGAAACTGAAATATATTAAACATACACAAAATATACACAAAAATATACAGACAGGAGGGACCTATGTTTAAAAAAAAAACTCTCTGCTATGTACAAATATATTTATATTAAACAAGGGATAATCTGTGAAGAATATATACATTTTAAAGTGACTTAAGTGTTGTTATTTAAAGCGACTTAGTGTTGTTGTCCATAGCAGTAATATGATATAATAATAATAATAATAATAATAATAATAATAGTAAATAATAAATAATAATACATAATAATACTGACAAAGTGACCAAGTGAAATGGTAGCTGGGGAAGGACCCACAGCTTCACAGCTTGTTCAGAAGCCTGACAGCCTGTGGGTAGAAACTGTTCATTAACCGGGTTGTTCTAGCCTGTATGCTGCGAAATCTCCTGCCTGATGGCAGGGTGGTGAGCAGGCTGTGTACTGGGTGACGCTGTCTGACCGGATCTTTTTGATTTTCCTGAGACAGTGGGACTGGTAGATGTCCTGTAAGGCTGGTAGTTTGTCCTTGATGGCTTCTGCCATCCTCACCACTCCTTTAAGGGCCTTGCAGTCGCAGATGGTGCAGCTGCTGTACCAGACAGTGATGCAGCCCGTGAGGATGCTCTCTATGATGCATCTGTAGAAGTTGGTGAGGATCTGAGGAGGCAGACCAAACTTCCTGAGCCTACGCAGGAAGAACGGGCAGATCTCACAATAGTGTTGGTGTGGAGGGACCAGGTGAGGTCATCAGTGAGGTGTACACCGAGAAACTCACACTGCTGACTCTCTCCACTTCGGCTCCATTAATGCTTACTATATTAACTTGCGTAAGTATGGTTATGAAAAGGATTTCTTTCCACCTCACTTTTAACGTTTATGGCTGCAGAGAATTAGTGATGTCAGGATTAGAGACCTTTCCATAAACACATTAATTTACTAAGAAATCTTTACAGTAATCCTGTGTGACGTTAAAATATGGAAAATCAGGCATTTGTATCCTTCTACCTTCACAGTGTTATACTGTATGTCTGAGTGTTCATTAGTCTAGATGATTCTCAGTCTACCATGTAAAATTGGCATATTGCCCTGAAACTAATGTAGCTTGAGGGGCCAAATAAAGATTGAGACAGGGACATTTTTACACCCCACATGCACTCCAACATAGAAAACTACAGACAGTGCCAGACTTATCCTGATTTTCTCTGAATTCAGTACAAACACAAAAACAGTAAGCGTCTCAGCTGTTTTAATATGCCTTGGTGTCATTTAGACATTAAATGGCGAGTCCTGTTCAATCCAAATTACTGTTAATCACAGTAAACCACAGTAGCTTTATGATTAGAAAGGAGTAGGCTAGTTAGTATGTATTCATTCTAAGTTGGCCAGTCTAAATAGGAAAAATGTGTCATTGTTCATTTTCTCGCTTAGTTCATTACCTTTAATTTGTTCTTGCATTGAGCGAAATCATCTACGCTTTCTTCCTTCATTAGGCTACTTTTTTCTCTAATTTACAGTCTGACATGTTTTCATATGCAATTTGGACTTGGACCGAAGGCCCATTACTTTTAAGGAACAGATTTTGAAGTGAACATGGACTGGACAGGGAGAACTTGCCTTCTCTAATTTTCCATCTCTCTGTCTTGGTGGTTTCAGTGAAAATGCTCTGACTTTTCAGTGGTTCTGCTGAGCCTTTTTCCAGAAACTTTCCAGAATGAAAAGCTTTGAAATAAGTTGCGGTGTTGCCAGGATGTGCGTGTGTAAGACTGTGTCAGATTCTTTAAGGAGATAAATCAATATGATGAGTGCTGCAACAAGTCCTTGCAATCAATCCTGCCTCATTCAATGTTCTGATCTTTCTAAACAAGCCTGTACACAGCACTTATTCAAAAAAAGGGAAAACAGACTAAATCTTACAGAGCAGATAAGCATCTAATCTTCTAAAGAAGCTTGTTTTTGCAGTTACACCTCGCCTGTGTGTAGTGTTTTGGTTAATAATAAAGGCTAAATAATTATTAAATGAGGTAGCTTGTGTAGGGAGAAGGAAGAGAGAGAGAATGTGTGAGACTTATATTTATGGAGCCATATTCCTTCAAGTAATCACTAATTAGATAAAAAACATTTCTAAGACAGGTACTAAAAAGCATTTGGCCTTATGCATGCTGCCTGTCTTTCTTTTTTTAATTAGAAATGGCATTGCTCATCAAATCAGCATGATAGTCAGCCATATAGATGCTGGTTCTACTTGCTGCAAGTCCTCAGAACATATAGAGCGACGGTATTCATGCAGCTTAAGAAATGATTAATGAGGCCTGGGTGATGAGCACTATAATTGGATATTGTTGATGATTGACAAGAAACACAATGGCATAAAAGACAATACATCTACTCATTTTACTTTATGTTAGGTTTAGATTGTGTGCGTGGAATGAAAATAAATACCAATGAGCTTTGGAACTTTAGCTTCCTTTTATTGTGACTAACTGCAGTAAAACAACCAACCAAGCTGGCTGGGTATTTACCCGCAGTTAGCTCCAGACCGAGAAAGTTCCTTTAATGTCTGTCTACGACTAGGAAATAGGATCAGAAAAAACAAACACATAATATTAAATAATTTGTATGCATAACGTTTTATTCACTTTTACTATTAAACACTGAGTTATAATGGGGCCTTTAAAAGAGTAAAATTTGCTGTATTTTCAGTCCAGCTTAAGTGTCCCATTGGATAATTGAATTATGAAAACTCTGCTATAACATGAGAAAACGCTTCGTTTTTAGTATGTAAAACACGTGAGCAAGGCTTTGGAAACTGCTTGCGCTCTGAAGTTTTTCTTGCAGGGAGCTCTATTAGCACACAAGTCACCATGAATCTACACAAGAAGAAGCTCAGGAACGCACGTTTGCAGTAACGTCTGTTTTAATGACAGTGAAGTAGTTTTCAGAAGATGTTGGGTTACTCAGTTTTATATAATTTAATATGTGGTTTTATTAAAGATTTTCATTAGAAACAGTTAATGTTCAAAGAAAAGCATATGCACTAAAAATGTCACCCAGGCCTAGTGTTGTGCACTGTGACTGTATGTTTAAGAAGAGAGCCCTTCATTAAGCCCCACAGCAGTCCCAAGTGCTGTCCGTTTAAACCGCAGCTTTCACTTGAGTTCTCTTTGCCAAAAGCTCTTCGCTCTGGAGCTCCTTCCAGCCTCCTTTAGAGACAAATAAAAGAAATTAAGTCATTTGAGCTCGTTTTTGTGTGCTTTTCGCAAGAGGGGAAGCTTGGTTGATATTTGCCATGTATAATCGACCTGGCAGGAGGAGGATGAAAGGCCGTATGAAAATAGCTCAGTTGGACATTTGCGCTAGAAAGAGGATGTTGAAATATTGATGTGTGGCACACAGGGGTCTCTATAAATAGCCGCCATGCTGAGATAACCTCTTGATTAATCAGTGAAAGCCTTGATGAGTCACTGGCCTGCTTGAATGGCTGATGAATGGGGAAATGACATGGGGAGATAGTGAGAAAACTCGCACATGCTGCTAAGGTCATTGGTCAGTGATAGTTCCTTAGTGGTCAAACACAATAGTGAGCCATCACGTCTACCCATGGTCTCTTTTAGCTGTCCTGTTTTGCACGTTTGGAGCTGGAGTAAACCAAACTCTTCTTTACATAAACAAATTTGAAGAAGGCTATGAGCCCAGTGGGATATTAGATCCAGTGCAACATGGAAAAATAAACTAGACATCTGTCAAGAATATTTACAAACCTTTATTTTTTCCTTTGATCCATTATTTCTTCCAGTGAAAGAGCATTCATTGAGCATGCAGGAGTGTTTGAGTGTCTTCAGCCTTGGGCTGGATATGGGTTTAATCACCTTTAGCTCTGTTTGAAATTGAATTCTTGGCTGAAACATGCGTGCTGCATATAGAAAATCATACCTTTCCTGACCTACCATCAGAGCAGCTGGGTCTTTTCGATGTGGCTGAGAGAAGAAAGGAATAGAAATGAAGAAACCTGCTTTCATTTTCATGCACGTGTGTTTTGTGTTTGAGGGCTGCGTTACATAAGAACAGTCCCTATTTGTGCTCAGTTCACTGGAGATTACATACAACAGCTGTCAGTGGGGAATGTTCAGTGTTGTTTAGATGTTTGAATGACTGTCAGTACACATAAGCCTGAATGCATGATTGTTTTGCGTATATGTTATCATGATGTCATTCATACCTTTGTCTCAAGGCCATGCAAACATGAATGAGATTTTTTCCTGTTTTGTAAATAACAGAGTAGGGATGCACAATATGGACACAATACCATATTTTCAGATTACATTGCTGCATATTGTGGTTGCACAATATTAAAAATAGTGTAGAAAACAAGGACACATAGTGTCATTGATGCCAAGCACTAAAAGCTATTTTGGTGCTGGTAGACCCTTTTCACTTTTCTGTGTTCAACACAGTAGAAGTTTATCATAAGAGGGAAAATATTGCAGCAGTGGCAGGGTTCACAAAAGAGAATGGACTCCCTCTCCCTTCCACGAAAGGTGTTGTTCATTTAGTGAAGCAGTTTTTATTCCCAGATAGGAGCAAGCTGAGCAAGGGCTACATTAAAAATAGACCACTGACGCCTGCTGCTTCAGCACGTAATGGTGGAGTGGTACAGGTTTAAAGAGGGTAAAAAGCTCTCAGTGATTGGGAGAGAGAATATGACATTGTATAAAATAAATAAAATATGGCATTCTCTTAGTTATCCAACTTTAGTTAGATGAGCCAGTGAACTGGGTGGACATCTCCACATCAACGTTAATGTTAATATCAAATCACTCTTTAAACTCTGAAGTACTTAAACATTGGCATGCTGGTAAGCTTAGATAGGAACTCTAGCCTGGCCATTTATAACACAGGTAAACAACAATAATGTTAGACAGGGGAAATGTAAAAATCACAAAATAAGACCAAAAGACAGTGAGTCGTAACTGACTACAATAACTACTCCCAACCTGCATGACGTTGACTATATTCTAGTAAACATCAAAAAGCTGGATTTAACTAACCTCATTGAGTAACTTATAATGAGATCCTTAAATGTACTTTTGTAGCCAAGCAAGCTCTTAAAGAAAAGTTTGTAGACATGGTCAGGCCTGCACCTCTCTGAAAACAAAAACTGCTCCACCAAAATAACAATGTCTTTCTTGGGAAAATTGGGTAAATAGATTAATAAGGATGTCAAAATATGCGAGTGCTTTGCATCAGAGATATTATAAAGGATGACTTTGTTTATGTTCTCATTTGTAAATGCTGCCACTGCTGTAATGTTTTTCCTACTTCTGCTGTGTCAAATTCAGAAGTGAAAAAGGGTGTATTTGGGCCCCCTGAGGAGAATCTTTAGCTTAATATATGTGACTGAGTCACTGACTGACTCATTGAGACACTGATTGACTTGCTGAATAACTAAATTGCATCTAAAGACCATGAACCCTTGGTGTGACATGGTTAAGATTAAAATTTGTTAATTCTTAGTTAAATCATATCACTTCACCAAAACATGTTTGATTGGTCAGGATTCTCACACAGCACAAAAAAAAAATCTAACTTGTTCCTTGGCTCATTTTAATATTGCAACCTTCTGTGATACTGGTGTTGCAGTAATGATTAACAAACAGTATATTGTGCAGCCCCACAACAAAAGCAAGCAAGCAGAGAAAGAAGTTTGAAGTGGACCCAGTGTTTCATGACTGACACTTTTATTTATTTATTTATTTTTCTTTACTTCCTCACCACAAATGCAGTTTGTAAAAATCTGCTAAACTGGCTGACGCTGAATATTTCCACTGAAGTTGTTCTGTAGCTCTCAAATCTGAGATGCTGACGTGGAATACATGCTGAGAATTTCCATTCAGTCTGAAAGCTCATCTTCTTTTAGAGGAGAGGCCAGACTCAAACGGTCAGATGTTTTTACGTGTCATTTTTTAAATTAGTTTTCTAATAAAAGTCAAGCAAGTAAATTCATTAAGTATTGTATGATGTCAGACTCTAGAGTAAGACATTTGTTCAAAAGGTCAGCTGCTCTTTATGGACTTTAATGCCATTAACATTTCTCTTTTTATTCTGGCATCATTTAAGTAGGCAGGTTTCACAAATATATTATTGTCTACCGTTTCCTGAAACCCATTTTTGGTCAGTGTGAAGCAGTCTTCACTCTAGGGCAGGAACGCTTACCTAAATGGACTGAAGAGATGGGAAGTGTCTTACAGCAGAAGCAGAATGTGACATTTCATCAGTGTGTGTAGGCAGTGTGACATTTGCACGCGACTCTCTGTGCCTCTCTATTTGGCCAGTCGGATGATCCTTCTGTGTATTAGAGCACTTTTGATTGACCCGACACCTGACATTTCCCTGTATTACCTTTATAGAGAGAAATAAAGAAAGCTGTGGTCACGTGCTATTGTAGGGTTTCTCAGGTAGGGGGTTTGTAGACACAACGGAGGCACTGCAGATTTTAGTGGGGAAGGGTGGTCATCATAACCAAGCAAACCTGGAACAGATAATGCTGTAGATCTAGCTATGAAAAAGGCACTGTCAATAAATTGTATTTATATCCACATGCATATGTTATGTTTTTGTATGGCTTTATCTTCAGTTATATAAAGTTTTTTATATATAAACATACATAAAACATTAAGTTATATATATATATATATATATATATATATATATATATATATATATATATATATATAACTTAATGTTTTATGTGCCCAGTCCTGTTTTCTTTTTCGCTAATCCAATGTTGGTTATTGCCTTATGTGGGTAAATTACTCCTAACAGTTATCATGTGCATCAACAATATATGTTGCAAATTATGCAGTTCAAGATTGTGTAAAGATGTTCAAAGCAAAATGAGCTACCGATTTTGTTGATTGTTTAATCTATGCATATGAACTTCAAGATAGCCCAGGTCAGGCCATATATCGTCGCTGTCCAATGAAAAACATCTCCATTTTTTGCGATTTTTACTTTTCTGTGTCATTTGAGCTCAGCAGCTGTCCGTTACATTGTGTGAAAATTTCATGATGATTGGACCAATAGAAATGCTCCAAAATTGCTTAGAATAAAATCTCGTTCCATTAACTTACATCAAAAGTAAAGAACATTTTTGTCCTCTACTTTAAAGTTACTATTTTGGAGATGGACAGCGATGATATGTTTGTTAACTAAGGCTAATATGTGGTAGATGTAAGTAAATTACATCACGTTACTGTCCCATCTGTTATGTTAGGCTGGATTTTTTCATTCAGGGTAATGAGGGAAAAGTGCAAGAGAGCAGCGACCACACCATTCATCCTATTATAAGTGCTAGAAGCTCATGCTCCTTTAGTAAATTGTGACAGCTGCTTTTTAATAGCGAAATAGTTTCTGCAAAATGCTGGTAAATATATTAACAAAACAACATGGTGTATATCAAAGTGTTTTACCCACAATTTAAATAGAGAAGATAAGATGAATCATTTATAGTCTGCAAAATATATTTTCAAGTGCTTTACTATAATATATTGGTTACGTTCGAGGACCCTCATTTCTCACAGTGGATTTCTGTCCTATGTGAGTGTTTACTGTTCTGTTGAAAGGCTGCGTGTGCTATCATTGAATCTTTTTGAGGTCTTAAGTGGTGTCTTTCTCAGACTTTGGCAGGTACTTCCACAAGCTGTGCCCTCTGGAGTAATCTTTCATCTGATTTTGGCTTCTTTGATCATTTATTCGTAATTTGAGATAAGCCGTCTGATTGCATTATGAAGTAGAATTTAGATTTTCTCTCTCATTGTGATTGTGGGTGTTTTTTATCTTTCTGGACAAAAAGGAAAAAGCCTTGGTGAGTGAGCACGTCCATGTTTTAAGTCTTACTTGATTGGGGCGTTCATGATTTGATTCAGAATGAACATCCAGTGCTGAGAAAAACTTTTCAAATTAAACTTATATGTAAACTTGTTTTTCTGAGCAGTAAACATGGATTTGTTTTGAAAAAATAAAAAACAAAACTAGCATTAGAATAAATAAGTAACCAACAAAAAAAAATGTTTTTTTTCTCCTTGAGGAAGTGCAGTATTTACAGTTACCATTCAATACCTGCTTCAGCTAATCAGTCTTAATTTAAATGAATCAAGTATTCTGCTTTTGGAATGAAACAAATCCATGGGATGACTGAAGTGCACCAAGTGAAGAACCAAACCAGTGTTCTTCAAACTGTATTCTTTTAATCTATGCATTACTAACTCTTTTAAAAACAAAATGTTCTTGTTGTGCTTTACTGTATTAATGTACTTAATGTATTTATTTACTGTGTTTATTCCTAACTGTTGAAATGTTAAATGTGTTGTTACTGGCAAAAACACACTTTCTGCACCAGAAAAGTACTTTTAAACGTTTTTCATGGCTGCCTGAGACATTTGCACAGTACTCAGTGTGTGCTGTTTGTTAAGTATCTGCTTTGTTATGACTTAATGTTTTTGTTTGTATACATTAAATTTTCTTGGTATTTAAGCATGAACTCAAAAACGCATTTGGATGAATACGTATTTAGCAAGAAGAAAAAAAATGACAGTTTATGCACATACAATGCCTGAATTTTATATTTTGTTGTAGGTTAGTCCATCTGCTTCTGGTAATGTTAATGTGATTTTTTTTTTTTTTTTTTTCCCCCTCCTCTCTCTGCCCTGAACTGATCATATTGCTTTCATGTGTTCTATACAAATGTGGTCTTTATTTCCTGATCTTGAGTGGCAGGTCGATTTAAATGTTTTTGTCAAATTATTGGTGTATAGACCCTAAATCAGTTAGAGTTACTGAGCGTTGTTTAATTCTTGATCTAAATATATTGCTTTGACTGTATTCGCATCACTCAAATGTGATCTCCATTTCCTCATTTGTTTCTTACTTTGGTAGGAAAACAACACAGCAGTGAGTTTTCCCGTCTCATCGCCCAGGTCAGAGGTCGTTTGGAGACGTCTAGAAGGACCCAGATAAAGCAAGAAGCAGGGAAGTTAGTGGAGGCATCATGTTCAGGAGGTAACAACAACTCCATTATCTCCATCAGAGATAGGGCTTCGCTCCAAAATAAGGGGACCTAGAAAAGCTTTTTGCTGGTCCAGGTGGATTCAAGTCAATAAGCAATTTCCAGTGCAGAAATAGGCACTAGTGCTTATGGTGGCTGTGTTTGTGTGTCTGCTTGGAATGGTTATTTGTTAGCTGCATGGACTTCGTTACCATTCAGTGAAGTCACAGTCAAGGCACAAAGCAATTCATGTCAAATCACCAGAGGGTCTTGGAGCCAGCATGCCCGAAGATATGAAGTGATTTCAGGTGGTTTATTTGAGCACTTTCAATGAGAATGTTCAGTAAAGCTGTTGACATCACATTGCATCTTCTGATGAACAATCTCATTTCCAAAAAAGTTGAGCGCTGTGTAAAATGTAAATAAAAAACAGAAATGCAGTGTTGTGAAAGGGGTTATAATACAAGTCCTATGAAGTCTTAAAAAAATATATTGAAGATTTAAGGTCATAAAATGTCTAAAATTGTCTTATTTTTTACTATTAGGTGTTTTGAATTCAAGGATGTCGGTCCTTATCTTAATTTAATGGATCAGGTAGAGGCTAAAGTAATCCTGGTCCCATGTGAATCTGATGCTATCAGTAATAGTGTGTTTAAAGGTAAGAGAAATGAGCACCTAAAGATGGCATGTTGCAATTTTAAATCTAAGCATATTCACCACCCTATTAGATGGTTGTTTCACATAAGTAGTCCAATAAAAATAAAGCAGTAAAACTGAGTATATACTGCTATACACATCAAAAATGAAGTTGCTTCACTGAAAAATGTATTTCACTGCAGTAACTGGTAGTCAATCAAATGTGATTATAAGCCAATATTACACACTACTAAAAGGAAATTTTGAAAAAGTAGGTTAAAAAACAACATATCAGTCTAGAATTCCATGTTATTCTCACACTAAAAATGAACTGATTTTACTGAAGGTTTAATTAGCAGAGTAGCATAATCTTACCTAAACAAACACAAATATCAGAACAGACTGATACTCTATATTGAAGGACTTATATCAGATCTGGGCCAAAAAAAGAATCAGGACATCCCTAATTGCAAAATGATGCCTAAAGACTGTGTTAAAAACAAAGTCATCCTGTATATTAAACTAATCCACAACAGTTTTAGAGCCTAAAATATTCTGCTGACAGTGGCCCTGTGGTCACAACTGACAGTTGACAAAGCACTACAGGACAGCAGAACTGATCAAGTCAAACACCCTGAAAAGACAGTGTAAGGTTTGTGTGGTCTCGAAGCGCATGTGCGTGTTTGTCCAGCAGTCAAATGAATAAAATCGAATGCCATGCATTAGGTCAACAAGGGTGAGTTCTTTACTGAAACGGTGCCATGTAATTTTGTTTATGTTGAGCTTCTAATTCACTGGTTTATCATGCAGCCTTACTTGTATCACTGAAGTGGGTGCAGTTAAACTCAGAAATTTGAAGCAGGTGCTAAGTATAATTAAGAGCTCCCTGTAAGTGGGAGGAAATTGCTTCTCCTGGGTTCTTCATGCCACCGTTGAGACACCCAGTAGATCAAGGCATAAACACTAGGCTTATATTCAGATGTGGCAAATCAAGTAGAATTTCTTTCCATAAGCATCTTTACTCCACAATGATATATTTAGGTTAACAGAAAGTTAATATTTGCAATCTCAGATTGTTATATATTCTATCAGTTTCAGACAGCTGCTTAGGCTGTAAACCTCCTTTAAGTAATCCGATTAATCCGAAACATTAATCATGAGCAGTAAATTCATATTAATTTTCTTGCATTTCTTTGCACTTCCTTTAAAACCAATAGTCTTAAGTTAATCATCATAAAGTGTGGGGTTATGTTTGAAGACGTTAATAATCATGAAGTGGAGAACTGTAGTTCAGAGACACCCTTTCATTTATTTACTTACCCCTCAAAACAGTCATTAAGTACAAGTTGTTCATTTTGCAGCATCAGGAGAAAAAATAAACATTAGGAACAGAAAATTACACAGAAGCTACAAGAACTAAATATAAGATCAGTATTTTCAGTATTTAGTGTGTCCACCCTTTACCTTTATGACAGCTTCTATTCTTCAGTTTTAAAAAATGGATATTTTTCCACACCTTGAGAAGACAGTCTTTCAAGATGGTCACACACTCTGCTTCTTATGATCCAAGTAATCCCAATTACAAATTTAGAACTGTCACTCTATGAAACCTCAATCCACAACTCAGATGTCTGGTTTTGATGTTTCAGTGCGAATTTTCTTCTTTTTTTTTAATTTTGTTTATTTCTTTCTCTCAGTAACAGCTTCTTGACACATGCTTTAAAACCCATAGCGCTGAGTTGTCTTCTCACAGTGGAAGGATGGACAGAAACACCTGTGGATGTTTTCAGATCTAAAGCAAGAGTGGAAGCTGATTTTCTCCTCTCTCTCAAAGATGAAAGCTTTAAGTACTGTGTATCTGATGGCGTCAGTTTTGATGGTCAGCCAGGTCTTGCAAAGTCCCATTTTCTGTATGTCTTTTAAATTCTAGTTCTGAAACCTCCTTTTTTTAAAACTTTGACTTTCCTCTTTCTTATGCAGGTTAGATTGGAAGGATAGAAGTATGGTGCACAAAAGTAAAGAGTGGACAAATTAAATACTGGCAGATCTGATATTATGTTTAATTGTCGAGGCTTCTGTGTAATTTTCTGTTGAATATATTCCTCCTACATTTTTTCTGCCACTGAAAAATGAAAAGCTTACGCACCCACACACATACAAAACACACACCCAGAGGTAGGTAAAACATAGAACAGGATGTCTGCTTATTCATGCAAAGGCCTGTGAGGTGAAATTGAAATTCTACACGTTTCTTATGAATTTGTCACCAATTTAAGGAAAAACAATATATATTGTTCTATGTTTAATTAATTACTTTTTTTATACAGGTGCAACAGTCCAGAGCTCTGCCCAGACACCAGTTTCCACAGTGCTGGAAGTGGCCAATCATGAGAAGACTTCAGTTATAGAAATTACATCAAGGTCACCAAGTCCCACCCTGAGTGAAGTGTCAGTCAGCAGGTAAATTCCCATTCCTGTAATTCCACTAATGCATTGCAATGTGTAGGTGAGCTCTGTTTCACGTCAAATTCCCCAGTGATGTCTGACAAGGGCTGTTCAGTTTAGTAAGAAGGTTGTCATGTTTTCTAATTCCTTCTTCAAATGTAAACATATCTCTTTGTCCGCTAGGACGTGTACTCATTATGGGAGCTTGAGCTGTTTCAATGCTATGCGGTAACAGGCTAAAGTATGGTAGCAGGCTAAAGTGTGGTGGGAGGCTGCTGTTGTGCATGTCGTAGAAAATTATATACGAGTTATTGCTCTTCCAGCTGGCAGTGCTGTTCTGTGATAGGGGAGAGACCCAAAACAACCTACGAATAAAGGGAGAAATTACCAAAAACAAATTGTGTATGGTAATACTGTTTCATTTACATTTAAGCTATGCTTATTCTAGCTAAAAAAACGTATTATATAAAATTATTTGTGATGTTTTCTTTATCTCCTGCTTTGAAAACATAAAGTGCCTTGTAAACAGGCTATACTGATAAAGTATTCACTTTTAAGCTGTTAGTGTCTCTTCTTATCAATTCTTCATTATTGAGGGAGCTGGTGGGTGAGATCTGTCAGCATAAGCCATCATTCATCATAACCTCTGTCCTCATTATGGCTTTTTTGACAAGCACTAAACTCAGATAAACAGAGGATGTTGACCGAACAGTCTGCTTTTTGGCCTGAGGCATGATGCAACTAAACTAATAAACTTTCTCTTCTGGGAGTCGACCCATGCAGCAAAAGTTAAACAAATACTTAAAAATGGGAAATTTTAGTGTAAATGTTTTTAAATGTTTCTCTTTGGGTGACGTCATGAACAAACAAAAAATGTAGGAGAAGATTTACAAATCAGGGTTTGATTTAAAGCACTATAAGATTTTTTTTTGTTTAAAATTTAAAAAGTAGTGTTAGGAGATAAAAAAAAATGTCGTGTGTGTCCTGCTGCGAGGCGCCCTGTCAGTCCTGAAATAAGAGTTTAAAAGTCGAGTGTCAGGTCGGATTTCACAGGAGTTTTTGGACCACGTCAGACTCGCAAAGAAGATCTGGCTTGATGTTTGGGTCTCAAATGCACAATCAACATTATACTGATAAAAAAATCTGATGACACTAGTAGATCATTCTCTCACATTATCAGAAGACACATTTTTCACCCAGTTTTGACTGAGTTCTCTTTGAATACACTTTAAACACGCTCACAGTCATCAGATTCACCCGCTCGGGGATGGGGGTCTGAAGCGCAACCTACATTATAAAATGTACCTCCATATGTTGTGTGCAATTACACATTTCTACAAGAGAGGTCTCGAAATCTATGGATCTTACCTAGTGTAGCTTCGAGTTAAACTTTCACGTGAAATGTTTTCGTGTCTCCAAGTTAAGACTTTATACAGTTTATTTTGTTGTGAAAGTAACTCCACGGATTGGTTTTGCTCCATTTTAGGTTACACTGGTACAATTTGTAGAAAATGTTTTCTTCTCTATTTAGGCAAAGCCATTACTTTGTTTATAGCAGTGCATTGTTTTATCACATAACGTTAGAGGTAAAGTACTAAACTACTGAATTTTTAGAGAATGTGAATGTTGTTAGTGGTATTGAGCCTGACCAATAGACGATTTTTAAGACTGATACTGATTTCGGTATTTGAGGATTTAAAAATCTGATAGATTGGCTGATATTCTTTTTTTTTTATTATTATTCAGAAATACATAACATAAACAAAGATTATCCTAACACTTATGTGTAGTTATTTAAGAGTGCACACTGTAGTGTTACCAACGCAAATAAACATCCATCACATTATTGTTTAAAGAATTTAATGTTTAACAATCTATGATTGTGTGTATTGTACACTGGATGAGCAGAACATGTAGGTGATGCTGAGCTACTGTTCTAAAATGTCTGCAGTTTATTCATTTTACTGCATTTATAACTTTGTACAAATACATGTAATAGTTCTCGGTAATACTAATCCAGGTAGACATAGTTCCAGTTTAGTTATTTTATAAATGTGCATATATATATACATCAGCATTGACATAAATAGATATGGATGTGAAAAAATACTGAGTATCAGCATTAACCCAGAATTCCCATATCGGTGCATCCTTAATTATTATGGAACTCATGATAGCTGGGAGTAGGTTTGCATAAACCAAAAAATAAATTGAGTTGAATCTCATGAAGCCCTGATATTTCCCCAGTCACACCTGAAACCCTGTGTTAATATGATTGTCACACCTGCATGAGTTCAGAGATTTTGCCTTCTACAACTATGAAGTGTGACGGAAGTGGTGGGGATAAAAGACATAATAGTATTTTGATTTAACGTTTTGATTTTAAAGGAAAATATTACATTTTAGGGAAACAGCAGTGAATGTGGCCATGTTAATAAAAATGACAGCATTTTATTTCTATAGGCAATGCAACAATGTTATATTGCAATAATTTAGAAACCTTATACCTAAGTGTAGCTTGTTACTGTGACTGAGGTTTCACTGTGCTTGTTCTGGTCTTTAGTAGCGGTTTGTTTCCTGCATTACATGCAGTATGTTGCCCCACGTCTCTCTCTGCCTGTGCTGAATATCAGCAGCGCTTGAATCAGGTGGGTGAGGACTTGTTCAGGTGTGGGAGCAATCTGATTAATTACATTTCCAGCACTCTGTGCTCTCTCACTCGTCACACTGATAAGAGTCTTCCCTGAAATGAGTGGAGAGAGGGAAACTGTCTGTCTCTTCAACTGTGACTCTCTCCTTCATTTAGACCTACTCTCTATCCACTGAGGAGCCATCCTGATATATTTAAAGCGATATTGACAGGCTTTACCTCTATAATCACCCTGGGTCTTGGGGAGGTCTTCTCCAAACACCTACAGTGCTGTGAAAAAGTATTTGCCCCCTTCCCAATTTCTTCTCTTTTTGCATGTTTGTCACATTTGAATGTTTCAGATCATCAGACTACTTTTAATATTAGTTAAAGATAACCCAAGTAAACACAAAATACAGTATTTCATTTATTGAAAGAAAAATGTTATTCAGCCCTACGTGGCTTTATGTGAAAAAGTAGTTGCACCCTTAGATACTACATCGACCAGTTAACCAAATTGAGTTGACTGTTGTGTTCAGTTTCACTAGCCACACCCAGGCATGATTACTGGGTGTCCTGTTGAATCTAAACATCGCTTAAATAGAACCTGTCTGGCAATGTGAAGCAGGGTAGAAGGTCTCAAAAAGCAGCACATGATGCCATGTTCTTAGGAGATGCAAGATGAACCTTCCCAGAAGTGCCCAGCCTACCAAAATTTCACTAAGAGCGCATTGGCAACTCATCTAGGAGATCACAAAAGAACCCAGACAACCATCTAAAGAATTGCAGGCCTCACTTGTCTCAGTTAAGGTCAATGTACACATTTCCACAATAAGAAAGGCACTGGGCAAGAATGGCATCCATTGGAGAGTTGCAAGACGCAAACTACTGCTAACCAAAAAGAATACAAATGTTCATGTTGCACTTCCCAAAAAACATCTAGATGACCCCAAGACTTTTGGGTTAATATTCTGTGGACTGATGAGTCAAATGTGGAGCTTTGTGGAAGACATGGGTCCTGTTACATCTGGTGTAAAGCTAACAGTGCATTCCACCATTGAAACATCATTTTGACAGTCAAACATGTTGGTGGTAGTGTGATGGTGTGGGGCTTCTTTGCTTCCTCAGGACCTGGACGACTTGTCATAATTGATGGAACTATGAATTCTGCTCTCTGTCAGAAAATCCTGAAAGAGAATGTCCACCCGTCAGTTCTTGACCTAAGACTGAAGCATGGTTGGGTTATGCAGTTGGACAATGATCTGAAGCACACACGCAAGTGCATCTCTGAATGGCTAGAAAGAAACAGAATAAAGGTTTTGGAGTGGTTGGATCAAAAACCTGACTTGAATCCAGTTGAGATTCGGTGGCAAGACCATAACAGGGCAGTTCATGCTCGAAAACCTTCCAATGTAGCCAAATTTAAACAATTCTGCAAAGAAGAGTGGGCAGGAATTTCTCAACAGCAGTGTAAGTACAGCACTGTGCAAAAGTCAGAGACCACCCAACATGTATTTACAACACCATTTCCAAAAAAGTTAGGACACTGTGCAAAATGTAGATGAAAACAAAATGCAATGATATGCAAATCATTTAAATCCTATATTTAATTGAAAATAGTACAAAGACAATCAAATGTTGAAACTGAGAAATTTCATTGTTTTTGAAAAATATATGCCCATTTTGAATTTGATGCAAACAACACGTTCCAAATATGTTGAGACTGGGGCATCAAAAGGCTTTTAAAGTTTTGTAATGCTAAAAAACTTGATGGTTGATGGGCAACAGGTCAATAACATGATTGTATATAAAAAGAGCATCCCAGAGAGGCTGCGTCTTTCAGAAGTAAAGATGAGGAGGGGTTCACCACTCTGTGAAAGACTGCATGAGCAAATAGTGCAACAATTCAAGAATAATGTTTCTCAATGTAAAATAGCAAAGAACTTTTGCTTTTCATCATCTGCGGTACATAATAACATTTAAAAGATTCTGAGAATTTGGAGAAATCTCTGTATGCAAGAGACAAGGCCAAAAACCAATATTTGCTGGCTGTCTTTGAGCCCTCAGGCAGCACTGCATTAAAAACAGACATGATTCTGTAGTGGAAATCACTGCATGGGCTCAGGAACACTTCTGAAAACCATTCTATGTGAAAACAGTTCGTTGCTGCATCCACAAATCCATCTTAAAACTCTAAAATGCAAAGAGGAAATCATATATAAACAGGATCCAGAAATGCTGCCACCTTCTCTGGGCCCGAGCTCATTTAAAATGGACTGAGGGGAAGGTTTTCTTCTGACAGCAGCGATATGCTGCCATCCAGATGATGTCTTTTTCAGGGAAGGCCTTGCTTATTTCAGCAAGACAATGCCAAACCACATTCTGCATGTATTACAACAGCATTGCTCCATGTTAAAAGAGTCCAGGTGCTAGACTGGCCTGCCTGCAGTCCAGACTGTCACCAACTGAAAACATTTGACACATTATGAAATGAAAAATACAACAAAGGAGACCCTGAAATGTTGAGCAGCTGAAATCCTATATCAAACAAGAATGAGAACATTTCACTTTCAAAACTACAGCAGTTGGTCTCCTCAGTTCCCAAACGTGATGAAACACAGTGCTAAACATGCCCCCCTCCCAACTTTTTGTGGAATACGTTATTGGCATCAAATTCAAAATGGGCATATGTTTTTCAAAAAACAATGAAATTTCTCAGTCTCAACATTTGATATGTTTGTCTTTGTAGTATTTTCCATTAAAAATATGTTTTACATGATATGCATATCATTTGTATTCTATTTTTATTTACATTCTGCACGGCATCCCAGCTTCTTTGAAAATGGTATTGACATACTTTGAATATGTTAAGTAATAGCTATTGAATGTTTTTTTTTTTTTAATTTCTGATTAGAAATGGCTTGCGTAAGGAAAGTCAAAAGAAGACAAGTTTCCAAAACTGGGGTTATAAAATTATAAAAAAAAAAAAGAGAGAGAAAATGGGACTCCTAACAGCTGTTAAAAATAGCCCACCAAAACTGTCACCATCAGATAAACAGTATTTAAAGCTTTTATCTTTGAGAGAGAGGAGAAAATCAAACTCTACTCTAGCTTCAGATCTGAAAAAATCCACAGGTGTTTCTGTCCATCCTTTCGCTGTGAGAAGGATGGGCAGAAACAACTCAATGCCGTACAACTGGAAGGATATGTAGCTGTTACTGAAAAAATAAATTAGACAAAAAAAGAGAAAAATTTGATAATCAAACAAAGAAGCTGCTGGTGTTCTCAGAACAATGGAGCGTTATTGCAAGGTTTGGAATTAATTGGATAATCAGATGCAGAAAATACATCCAATGTCTAAGACTGAACTTTGGAAGTGTGGAAAAACATCCCTGAGGATTTCATTCAAAAACTAAAAGTCTGTTGAAAAGAGTGGAAGCAGTAATAAAGACACACTAAAAACTGGAAAAAATGATGACAAATTTAGTTGTCAAGGCTTCTCTGTAATTTTCTGTTAAATATATATATATTTTTGATGCAGAAAAATGAAAAACTTGCACTTAATGACCTTTTTTTGACTGCAAATTAAATGGAAGAAGGTTGGTATCTGACTAATAAAATCTCTGGGCATTGTAGTGTTGTATTGTGTTGTGTTATTTTATTGCTGTTTAAGTAATTAATGTACATTCAGTGTATTTTAAAACAGCACTCCTGCTGAACCTTAATTTGATGTATCTTCCATATTTATAACCTTGTAAAAACGTTCCCCAGCTTCCAGTGCTTTCACTTTGTTTCTCTGTTGGCCGATGATTGATTTTATTCTCTTGTATTCTCTTTGTATAATTATTTTAATCTATGGTTAGTTAAAAAATTGTACAATAGAAATTTCTGCACTTAATTATAGGCTGTACAAAGTTTGGCAGTAATTTGGTCTCTAACCAAAGCATTGCACCGAACCCCAGGATATTAGCAGGCTTTTGTGTCTTCTGTTCAGAATAGTTATCTTTATAATTTATTCAGCAATATTTGATTTTAATTATGTTACAATCAGGAAAATATATGTTAAGGCTGTGGATTAGGTCAGCTGTTGTTGTGGCCATTTGCTTACAGAGTACAGAACATTACTGATTCAGTAAAAACACACATATAATAAATCCTGGCAGCTCTGGAGCGGTCAGTTTAAAACTGAAGCATGCAAAGTGAAAATTAAAGTATGGTTGAGTACGCCTGCCATGTTTATACACTGGTACATAATAAATCTGAAATAGTGGTTTGTACAGTGGTATTGGCCAGTGGAGACAGTTATTAATTATCACCTTTTCCCAGAGGGATTCATACGTATTACTGCACCAGTAGTATTAAATGTCTTTTACAGCTGTATTAAAATGCTGCAGTTACCTTGAACCGCAAGAGTCGAGCAGCAAATGAGTTACAATGCTGAAAATGTCCATGTCTCAATGCGAACATTGCTCACATCTTCTATAGCTTTTTTTATTTTTTACCTGTGGATATTGCTGTCCTCAGCATGTGAGTCTCATTTTTAAGGTTTGCTTTTCCCCTGTGTACTTCTACCACTTCACGGCAGTTTATTAGAGTGGCTGCCACATAGCATTATTTCTGGTGCAGAGCCAGTGCCCATTCTCCTGCTGTTTTACATTGCCTTAAATACATAATAAGAAGCACTTACTCCAGATGGCACATCAGCCCTTTGTTTAATGTCGGAGGATTTAATCTGTTATTTGAGGAGCATCTTTGGCTTATTGTGACTGCATTTGCCTATAGTTGCTTTGTGAATAAGGTTTTTTAGCAAGAGTACTGCGTTGCATTTAATACCTAAGAAGAAGCAGTAAGATTAGATTAATTCTAAGGGTTTTATTTGAGGAGGATTATAGGTTTAATGTTGCTGTGTTTGCCTGCTGTTGTTTAGGTAATAAGGTTTTTTTCTTTTACCTAGCACACTTCTCAAACCAGATGATGCATTACTTTGTAGAAGTTTTTGTTCTGATTTCAAAAACCCATTCTGTTTTTTCCCATTTATGTGTGAAAGATTTTAAATGTACAAACTAATCTTTGTGTTTCTTTTAAATGGTGAGGCTCAGCAGCTCTAAGGAGTGTGCCTATTTTGGCCTGCTAATTTATGTTCAGCATTCAGCAAAATCTTCAGAGCTGTTCTTTGGCCCCTTGGTGTACCTCCACACGCTATGGAAATAAAATATAAGAACTGGGTTTTTTTTGTTTATTCTTCTGCGGCCATTCATACATCTAGACCTGTCACTGTGGTATACTATTTTGTTGCTGTCTCCAAAATGGTAACTTTACAAGAGAAGGCAAAAACATTCTTTTAACTTTTAACGGAAGTTAATGTAAAGAGATTTTATTTCAGGTCATTTTGGAGGATTTCTGTTCATCCATTCATCTGTTGTGTTTAAATGATTTACAAAAATACAAATCTGAAAAAAAGTATATATTTTTTTCGACAGTGGCGATTTGTAGATTCGAAGTATAATGGCGTGCTCAACATAAAAATCTGGCCAATAGTGGTATTAATTCATTACAATAAAAGTTTATTTTTGTTGAATGCTTACTTAAATTTTAAAAAGGTGTTTTTAGATTTTGTATTGATCTGTAAAGTGGCCCCAAAAGTATATGGTGTTAGAAGACTAAATGTCAAACCAAGTGGCACTTATTTTATACAGATCATTCCAAGACTCTTAATTTTCTGATTGTTGTTGTTTAAAAGTTTCTGTGCTGACTTCCAGAATACCTTCATACACTTCTGAGGTCTTGATCCCATCAATGAACTCAAGCTTACTGACACCACTATAAGAACAACAGCCCCAGACTTTGTTTCCACCTCTGGGCTTCACAGCACTCTTAGTGCAGTCTGTTTGGAATTATTCTCCAGGCTTTCTCCACTCATAGAGATCACCATCAGCTTGATGATGTGCTAAAAAGCATTTTTCTCTGAAACTAATAACATTTTATGAAGTAGTCTAAAGAACTTCATTGAATTTTTTCGATAGTTAAATGATTAAGTTGTTAAAATACTTTTTGGGCCACAGTAAGTAAATGTGAAACATAGTGCTCATGTCTCGGATGGTATGCTTGAGTCCACTTCAGTTTCATGGTTCAAATTTATAAGCTCTTGTGCTTGAAGGGTGAACTATGACATTATCCCCACTATCAGTATTCCATTGCTTCATAGTTCAGTCCTTATTCTTTTAACTTTAGCTAATAGCAGTTACGTACAAAGTCATTCATTTTGCAGCTATGGCGAGACCTGAGACGCATACGATTGTATGCAAAAGTTTTGTTGATTTTTGTTGTTTTGTTGATGTTTTTTTTAGTTTTTTTTTTTACACATAAAAATAAGTGCAGAAAATAAATACACATAAAATGTGGCCTGAGCCAAAGTTATGATACATTTTAAAT